GTTGGGGTGGCAATCAGGAAGTCTTTCCAATGCTTTAGATCAGCGTTTCTCAACCCCAGAAACTTTAAGATGTGCAGACTTCAGTTCAGAGTCGCTGGGAGTCTGGTGCCATATACATTTAATAAATTATTATTATTGTTGTTGTTGTTGTTGTTGTTGTCATTATTAACTCCCAGGAGTCCCCAGCCAGCATATGTCAGAACTGGACAAATATGAGATGTTGAGGGTTTTTTCATGAAATTCATTTTAGGACCTGGACTACAATTTGGCTGCACGCACACAATTCCCTGAACCTAGTTCCCGTATTAATCCATTTTCTGGGCTTGCATGATACATTGACCCATAACTTGATCCAAACAGGCTGAATTCTCAGCAAGGGTGAGACGGAAGGGGGTATGGGTGCCAAAAAATCAAGAGGCCAGCTTCGATTGTGCGGCCACAGCCACCATCTTGACTTTTCTGACCCCCTCTTTGCCCACTCCTGATTCACATGATGCAGGAGCCCCCTCCAACTCCCCATAAACCAACCTCAGTATGTTGTGGGAATGTAGAGTTCCCACTCCCAACTCCAAAAAGACCCCAGCCCAGCTTCTGTCACCCAAATGGATCCCCCCGGTTGCGTTCCTCCTTTTTTGCCCTTTGTTAAAAATCACCACTCCCTTTTTCCTGCATTTTCAAGGGTAGGATGGAGGTCAACCAACGTATTCCCTTCCTTCCTTTTGCCCAGCCTGACTTTCCCCACAAACGTTCTTGAGTTTGCCAATGGCTATTTTCCAAATGTCTTGTTTCAAATCTCTGAGCCTTCCTGCCGTTTCCTTCTTGCCTTCTCATTTCTCTTCAACACCCGAGTGGCCCCTTTTCCTACATACTTGAGAATCCATTTCTCTGAAGTTCTTCCTTGGGGCCTCTAATGGCAATCTGGGGCGATGTCCTCGTTTGCCCCCAGCCATAATACAAATGTGCCTTGACAAGGTGGTTTCCTGCTGGGGCCCCATGACAATGCCTTCCTCTTCTCTTCCACCCACAAGGGAGACAAACTTATGTTGTCCTTCGCTCCACCAATGTCCTAAAGCAGTGTTTCTCAACCTTGG